TACCCCCTCCGATGCTGCTCGATGGCTGCTGTGAGGTCGTTGCTGATGATACTCGTAAACGATGCGCACTCGATTGAGCAACTAAAATATGGTCAACTTTTCGGCAATATTTTAAAAAAAACGGAAACAAATTCTGAATAATCAATAAACAAATAACACCAAGTATCGGACAGTAACTAACCGTTCGCTGAATGCTGGTGATAAGCATTTCGATTTACTAATGCCATATTACTACCCGCTGACATCACTCTGCCAGGCATTTTCTGCTGCTGCTGCTGTTGCTGCTGCATACCACTTTGCAGGTTTCCTCGCTGCTGCATTTGATCACTCATAATCTACAACAATCATCCTTCTCATTCATTCTCGTCATTAAACATCACACAAATAACTGACAAATCTCAAAGATATCATTGATAATCATGAGAAACGAAATGAAATGATAAATAAACCCAATTATTGTTAGAACACAATGAACGGAACATATTTCACTTTTAATCAATTCGTCTCAAATTCGTCACATTCTTCCATAATCCTCGATAGATCGCTGAGTAGGGATGTTTCATTGATCATTTGAATCTTGCACCTATACATTGGAAGAGACATCGTAACGAAACATTTTCTTCACCAGAATTATGTCTCTCACCTTCTTCGCCCTTTCAAAAGAGCGATACTGCCGCAATAAAAACTTGCTCCGAAATCGAAGATCAATGATTACCTGTGGCTGAGGATCAATAACGGCTGAATACTGCGATTGCGAAATGCGTTGTTGATCAACCATACTACTGCTGTTAATGTTGCTGTTCGATCGAGAGTTACCTCCTGATGATAGCGCGACTCCAACCGAACGAACTTGAATGTTTTGTTGCGATGAGAGATTCGACTGGTTTGATGCAGACACCTGAATAGCACTCGATCAATGACCGCAAACTTAACTCAGTCCTTTCGATTTCGGACGATCCATCAGTTACCTGTTGATGATACTGATGCCCTGCGGCAGTTGGCGGTGGAGCAGTTTGCACTGGCTGGGTGCTCGAAAGACGCATAGTTCCTTGTTGCTGTGATACGGCATTTGATACGGTCATACCGATCTGATTGGATGGCATGGCTGACTTGGATGAACTGGATGATATTATTGTCGTATTCTATAAATTGCCGAAATGAAATTAAGAATGATCTATTAAAACTGAAGGAACTATTGAAATTTTGTGAAAAATATTAGAAACGGAAAAATTAAACCAAAACAAAAACGACGGAAACTGACATGTGATGTATCGACTGCGGTCGATGATGTGTGCAAATGTGTAGCTGATGAGTTCGAAAGCGCTGACGGAGAAACGGGAACAAGGTTTGGCGTTAGGCTTTGAGAAACTGAAAATGAAATGCTCATTTAGTGAACCTAACCTAATTCCTCAATATCCTTTCATTGTGATCAGCGTTTTTNGTGTAGCTGATGAGTTCGAAAGTGCTGACGGAGATACGGGAACAAGGTTTGGCGTTAGGCTTTGAGAAACTGAAAATGAAATGCTCATTTAATAAACCTAACCTAATTCCTCAATATCCTTTCATTGTGATCAGCGTTTTTAGAATAATAAAATGCTGAGTTAAACTGCTGAAAATATGAGATTGCGAAAGAAATAATGGATTTTTTTCTGATTTTAAAAAAGAACCTGTCGTGGCAACTCGTTGATGTGCTTGGTGTAGGTGATTACTCAATCCGGCTTGCGTTTTGTAACGTTTCGAACACTGACCACATTTGTATGGACGCATACTGAATTTTTTTGAACTCAAAATGGATTCAATCAGCTCACTTAGATTAATTCGTTTTAATCAATCAAATAATTCTATCATCTCAAATATTTCACAAAGAATCGCACTGAATGCGATTCATTCTTCAGAAAAAATAATTGGTGTTCGTGATTTTTCTAACAATAAACAATCCTTAGAGTATTGTGAGCATAATTCAACAGTTGCAGAAGGCAGTCAAAATGTTGCGCGCTCAACAGTGCAATTGCCTGGAAAATTGGCTCGATGATATTATCTCAACGAAAGACAAAAAACTGAAAGATTCACATAATTTCACTCGAATGATATTTCCAGTATGCATCTTGCATAAAAAACAACAATTTACTGAAGAAACTGAACTTGGGCGTTTCCTGGAATATAAACTAAACACTTCCTTACTTCGAATATTTATTAGGGGTTGGCGGTTGAGTTAATGG